CTTAAACTTCGTAATTCCATACTGCCAGACCTGACCTCGTCCACGAAGGAATTCACCCTCGCGACCTTTCATCCTCACAGGGATTCCTCGCCTTCTTCGTCTCCTTCTCCTCCTCTTTCCCGCTTTTACTCTTCGTCTGGGTCAACTTTGCTCGCGGCTTGGACAAACAGACAATTCTTATTCAACGAATGGCTTCTGTTTTTTTTTTTTAATCTTACGGACACAAGAATCCATAACTTGGAGCTACTCCGATAGAAATATCGTGCTCGTAATTTGATAGTTAACGCTATTCTTACCCGATACAAACTTTCCATGGTCTACGAAACACGGTTGAGTCGGGATAATATAATTTGCGTCTGAAAGGTGAATTTGGAGCGCAAAAAGGTGAAATCGTGTCACTGAATTACCGCGGTAATATCTGAAAGACCCGAGGAAACTTTGGGCGAATTCTATGTAAAAATATCGCGAAAGTATCTCACTGGTAAAACAACGTGGAAGGAAGTTTAAAGTCGCTCGGGACCCTCCCGTCGGATATCTCAAAATATAATAGCAAGTTCTCGGGGGGAAAGGAACAAAAATGCCAACTACCAGTGTTCCCTCTCTCGAGGGAAGTCGGCTTCTGACGCATAACTCGCGCGCTTCCTGCAACCAACACACAAATACACCTTAAAATTAGCGCGGTCTCTGCTCGGCTGCAACTGCGTTTATACTTTGCAAACACACTCGACCCATTAGCCGCTACATTTCCTTCGTCGAGAATTGGTAACGCAACGAGCCTTCTCCCTATGTTGATGCAATGGAGCCAACGAGTTACCTGCAACCGCGTCGCTTTGCGACTTTTATGCGCGCACCTGCATATTTCGGTGCAAACATCACCCTCGTTACGTTATTTCCGTCACTCCGCGTTTCGCCATCGAAACAATTGAACGAAACAAAGATTCTCGGAACAGCGGTTGCACGAGTGGGATCGAAAGGTCTTTCGCTTCGAATCGAGCGCAATTTAGTTTAGAAGAAAATAGTTGCTTGAACCTAAGATTGAAGACACTAATCTATTTTACGCGATTCTCTACAAGTTTAAGTTGCTTCGTATTGTTTTCCGTCTGAATGTTGGATCCACGCTGCGAGCTTTTCCTTCGTTAATCATTTTCTTTGCCACGAGTGCTCCCTTTTCTCTCTTCGTTCCTTTAAAACCAAGAATAGCAAGAATTTCTTGAGAATTTCTAACGAGCATCGCCATGTATTGTTTGCAAAACCATAAATTATTGAAATAAATGTTACGTTTTCCTGCTCTCCCTGACGCCGACATTTATCACGTTACGTTTACAGCCGTCCAATTAAGAATCGTGTCATTCAACGATTACGTTGCATGACTCGAGTTGGAGCCACTTAGAGAAGCAACGTTGCAAATGGCGTGGTGTTCGATGTTCGTGATTCGAACGGTAGAAAAATCCGTTTGAACGTCGACAAACGAACGTACGGAATCGCGGTATGTTCGTGTCGTGTCCCGAAACAATTATCCAGCCTTACGTCCATCTTCCGTCACGTTAACGGCGATAGGAATCGTTGCCGGCGAACAGTTGTACGAAAATTAATTTCCGAAGCCACGGCATTGTCAAATTTTCGGAGCGAAGGGGCAGAACAAGAAAAGCGAATCGGTGCGTGCATCCTCGAGGTATTATTCGTTTTCCTTTCGCGGGGCGGTAGCGTTTCGAAGCACGGGCGCATTATAAGCAGCCCCCGTAGGTTCGCGTACGTCCACAGGGTAATTCTCGCATTCCAAAGGTTGTTGGCGAAGGGTAGAGGAAGTGGCAAGAGTCGACGAGGAGAGGCGAACAAGGTGGATCGACGTCGGTGTGTGTACACGACTCGACAGCGGATCCAACCAGCCTCGCTTCGTAATTGAATCACGCTCGGAGCCGGCGAGGCGTAAAACGTGGATTAAATACGACGCATACGTGGAAACGAAGTCAGCACTCGCAGGGTTCGTCGAGTAGACCCGGTGAAAGGAACTCGGGGCTCGAGTGCCCGCTGTGGCGAGACTCGTCGAGACTTTAAACGTTGAAAAAGCACGAATACCGCCGTTCTTGCGATTTACCTGCATACGAACTGGATTCTTTCGCTCGCTAAGCGTACGGCTTTTTTGCCGAATTCGGCTAACCAAACCGGTCAACGAACCCTCCTTTAAACTTCCTATTGAGAACGGCTGCCGTCTGCGTTCCAACCCTTTGATACTCCGACGTTGTTTCTCGAACACAAATCTCTAATTAAACGTTTCTTACTCCGTGGAAATTTCGGACGAACCGGCGTATCGAGTGAACGTAAGTAAATTAAGGGTGGAATTAAGGGTGGACAATAAGTTGTTTCGCGAAGAATTATCAAAGACAACGTCGAAAACTAATTAGTTGGAACGTGTTCGATGTTTCGGTTAAAGTACGCTATAATCGTCGGATTTTATTTTTCGTCGCATCGCTTTGAGCCCTCGGACTCGTTTGCGGATCGTTTTTGAACGGTTGAACAGGAAACACGCGCAACGAATCGAACGTATCGGAACCGTGCGTTTGATCATCGCGATCGAAGACCCGTGTATGGAGTCCGGAATGAATCCGATTTGACCCTTTGATTCTCCGTTTTTCAAGCCGAACTAATTGCACGAAGTTTAAAAGCGACATTCGTTTGATAGTCTCGCGTCAATTTTTTCCAATTCTCCCTTTGCGTGTCTCCTCTTTACTGTTTATTCGAATTTCCAATTTGTTCTACCTTCCATAGGGTTCGCTAAGGTAGTCTTCGACCGTTAAGCCTCTCGTGAAATCCATTCTTTTTAGAATTTTGTGCTGGTTATTTTCGGTTACGTAAAGTTTCTCTTATCGATTTGAACGTTGGATGACCAGTCTACTCGTTTAACTCGTTCCTCGAAAGTTCGAAGACAATGTCGCGAAGCGCGTTGAACAGGTTTACAGAACGGAGTAGGTAGAGGCTGTGACACGCGACGCTCGACGCGATAAATCAGAGCTCGTTTAATAATGAAATTCACTGGGTCTCTCGGCTTCATTGTCGAGCGAGTTTTATCAAAAGCGTCTATTTATCTTTCTTACGAAACAGTTTCAGAACAGTTCGCTCATAAACGGCACCCCAGGCCGGAAAGATTCTCGACTCTCGGGCCGCTTGGACGTGCTCGCTTTTCGCGTGCAAAACTGGGTCACCGAGATTGATGGTTTTTCTTGTATCCTCGAGATCTCCAAATATAGTCTCGAGTAGAGAGGGTGGAGGGTATTCATAAATTTCGCGAACACGCTCAGGTGAATGGCGTCTTACTGGCGTCGCGAACTGTCGAGGTTCCGTCCACTGCGACACAGAAATCGCTGTAGTTTAGGCCGTCTTAGACGCGTACATTTAATCTCTCGACCTTTCTTTGCTCGAATAAAGGATGACTGATCCGTCGAGAAGAATTCTATCGTCGATTTACTTATTTTGGGGGTAATGGTTGTTTTCGAAAAACACGTTCGGAAGAAGAATCGAGAAGCCGGTTATTCGGCAAAGTTATGAATCGAGACGTCGACTGATCGGAACGTTCTGTTTCGATGCTGTATTTTCTTGCTCGACGCATTTATACTTTTCCGGGTCATGATATCCGAAAAATTGAAGAAAACTCCGGACAGCCTCCGTACGTCGATCGTCCGATATCCGGAATCGATGTCCGTACTGCGAAAGGAAAAAATCGAACGATCATGGGCATCGCGCGAACTACCCCCGGTACCGCTTCTTTCATCGTCTTCGGTGGCGCATCATAAAACTTTCATAGCTTTCAGAATTTCCAGGAATCGGTCTTTTGCCAGTCAACTCGCGCGAGAGTCGGTGAATACGACCTCTTTCTCGTCGTGTTCGTCTTGTTGAAACGTAGCCACCGCCACGACCGGAGAAGGACGAAGAAACGTGTCGAGGATAAAAATATCGACGCGGAGGGCTCGGCCCATTACGGACGATTCGGAAAGAACGAACCCTAATTTGAATATCCCTTCCAATCTCGTTACGTATGCAGTTGTCGAATCAGATTTTCCTTCTCGGATCGGCAGCCGCCAATTTTGAACGTTCGCGTAGAACGGCCGGGGCCGATACTGTCGTGCGCTTCGTCGAGCGAACATATTTCTCCGATTTTTTTTTTTTCGCGATTCGATCGAGCGGGTTAAAAATGCATGGTGCCTTATCCTGGCCGGTACTTAAACGATGAGTGGTTAATTCTAGCGTACTCGATTGCCATAAAAGTCCTAAGTCAAGAGTTTAATGGGGTTGCCGGAACAGCCACCTCGTCGTAAAGACAGGGGGAACACAGGACTCCACGCCAATCTCTTGTTCGTTACGTGTCTTAAAAATCTACCGATGCCACGGTAGGGCTTGCAATCGGAGCTTACGATTTACCGCGGTAATTACCAAAATTACTGCACCGCATAATGACGGTAATTATCGCCGTAATTCGTGGTAATTGCCGCGGCAATTACTGGGCTCGAATTCCGAAGACCGGCGGAAAGGTCGAGTCGGTAGCTGGTCCCTTCTTTCGTTTTCAACCCCCTGCTATTATCGATTCTATCGTAAGAAAATAGACGGGGGATTATCGGTCTGATATCCCAAGGTCGATTAACAGCCACGCCATACTCGAGACTTTTACTTGACCCTTAGGGTACGAAACTTTATTTCAGGTTTCGCTAGATTGAAAATTCTCCGAGTTTCTTTGTTCGAAAAATTATGAATCGAGTCTGAAGGGCTGCCCAATAACTTCTCGACCTAATAACGGAACAGCGGAGAATTTTTCAATTCGAAAGCAATTTTATTTTATTATTTTTACAGCGACTTCGTGGAAAGTCTGTAAAGTGTTTCTTCGCGTTACTTATTCGATTCGTTACAAATTTTCCCGGAAATTTGTACACGAAAGTGTGTAACGTTTCGCCAAAAAAAAAAAAGGGTAATCGAGACAGTTCGCTAATTGGATCGTTGTTACTTTGTTGCAGAAGCAAGTTGCGAGGAAGGCCTGAAGCTATCCGGACGAGGAGGTGAGTTTGTTCAATGTTCTCGCGCGAGAAAAAGCATGGAAAAGTTAAAGTTTGGGTAAAAGTTAGTTCTAAATTGCGGTTTTCGTGTCGACGACCATTGGTCGCGCATACTCAAGTACCCTTTCAGTAGTTTCCGTTATCCGGCGTCTCTTGGACGTACCGTTTCCCGATATCGCTGGATTAGCGATAACCGATCGCCTCGTTCGCGAATTTTCCTCGATTCGCTTAATCGTTCTAATTCACCGTTTAACGCGAACCCGATGCGCTCAGAACGGACGATGAAAATTTCTTAAACGACGCGAAAGAAAAGCCCTTGACACTGTTTCGTGACGCGGTGCCGCGTCAAATACACTCGATTTTCATCTCGAGCGGAAACCGGAGGAAAAAGCTCGGCCCCTTAATGGTCGCCGTCGTATCGTTGAGCGGTTGGTCGCGTACCCAAAAAGATTTGGCTCGAGGCACGCGAAACGAGATGTACTCGTCTTTTTCGCTTCCTAATGACTCGCGAACAATTTCAATGCGCTTCGAAGACCGACTGGCTTTTCACGAAAAATAACAACTAGCGGATAAGCATCTATAAAGGACGCGGAGAGGTCTTTACCTCCCTCTTAAGGCGCAGTTGGCACGAAAATGGTGGCTCAGGTGGTTGGCCGCGACCCGAATTTTTCGCGCGGCAATTAATTGCTCTTCGAAAACTATCTTTAATCGATTTGGAATGACGAGCAGGTCGAGCCAAGTCGCGATAATTGAAATCTCAGCTTCGGGAAGAATCGGATCGACGCTGTTGAACGCTGCGTTAGCGTCTACTATTTCCTACGATTATAGTTTTCGTTTGATCAGTGTTCGAGTCTCGGAGTCGAATCTTGGGTAAGTGCCCTGTTTGCCCGGGGCCAACAACGCGACGGTGCCGAGCCTGGCAATCAGCGAGGGTGTATGTGATTTCATAGTTTGCCAATATTCTGCAGCGCGCGCGCTTCCCATTTTTATTAGCCCCGCGTTTCATTTGCCGGGATTCGTCGTGACGCGAACGACATTTGGCGAAAAACTTTTCGACGAAATGAACGACAACGGCGTTAATTGTTTGTCCGGCAACAATGCGCGGCTAACGTGACGAAAATTGATGTTGTTGGCGCGTTAATTCCCACGCGGGAAAAGCAATTGTTGCGACGCGCGCGTGGCTATTGCCAATTGGCCACGAAACAGCGGACTTTTTAATTTTATCCCGAGAATCGAGCCTGGAAATTGTGCCAGATGTCGATTCTTTATTCGTTCTCGATTAAAGCGCGTTATCGGTGCTATTTGTTTTATTAGGTTTTCGACGCGATCGAAAGGAGCATAACAGTTGAACGATGCTAATTCGGAAACTATCGAAACCTTAGTTTTCTCTGTTGGATTCGAACGTCGAAAAAGAGGCAGGTGGACGACCGGAATCGTGCCGCAATATGTCAGAATTTCATTCGCGACACTTATCGCGCACGAGAATTGGTATGCCATTAAAAAAATGAAAAAGACACGTTGAGCGAACACGTTAAAAAGTTGGAGCGATACGTTACAGAACGCATGTAGGAATGAGCGGTATCGTTTTCGGAGAAAATCGATATTTATAGAGTTAGTCGAGTGGTTTCGGTTACGCGGTAGCCGACGAGCTACGCCAGCGAATCGGTTAACTCAAATTTAATATCGTGGCTTCTCCAATTTGGACAGAGGGCTAAAATGAACCGAGCGTTTCGGTTTGATTCTCCAGAATTTCGTTGGCTTCCTCGTATTATGATCCCTGGGCTTCTTTCGACCAATGTTACGCGCAATCCCACAAGTTCGAGCGTTCGAACGGGTCGATCAATATTGGCTGATCGCTCGTTTAATTACCAATACGCCACTTACATTTCCCACGAATCGGCAGCAATTATTAATTGATCAGCTAATCAGAATGTTTGAATCGAAAATGTCTAATTAACGTTTAAAACAATAATTACGATGTTAATCGGTATTCGACGATATAATAAAAGACGCGCGCTCGATATTATTGACTGGTGTTCGGTCATTAGCGAGGGGATTGATCCGGACAACGGTCGAGCATCGTTTGATTTCGCATCGAAACGCGACGTAGAAAAATAATGCTACGTGGAAAGAATTCGTCTGGATCGAGCTTAAAATTCGCGAACGCGAACCCCTTCGTGAATTTTTTTGTATTTATCGTTGCTGGTTCCGTAGCGTGCTGGACACGGGTCCGTTTGACGTCGGACCATTACTTTTGACGCGACCTGTACGTGCATGGCATATCTCCGCGCTTATCCCCCTCGGCTACCGTTGCTGATACCAGTCCAGGACAGAGGGAAAACCCCGTGGGACGTGATTTATTCGTGCTTTCAGGGATCCTTTAAAAGGACCTTTCGCTTCTTTCTCGCGAAAATGTATCAGCCCTAGTTTTCCCCCGCGATCATCTTTTTATTATGTTTTTTCAACGTTCGTCTCGCTTCTCCGGTGTCATTTTTCTTTCGAACGTCAGAAATGCGAGGCATTCGATAACGTTTGCGAAGTACAGAGGGGTCCATGATGTCTAATGAACTCTTAAAAGTTTTTAGTCGAGATCACCCTGTTCGAGAAGTAATTTTTATTCCGCGTCGAGATCGAGATTCCTTCCGTTTTACCTCGTCACTCCGTTTCGTTGTGTATTTCGATGACTTAACGTTGTTAGCGTGTTTCGTGACGATCGTGAACTTTCGGGGATGATCCACAGCTGCGACGTGAACTTGATTGAAAGCAACCTCGCGTTTGCGAGCTCTTGTACAAACCTTCGGAGCAAACATAGACGAGAACGAGTTACATTATACATGAAAGTCAGCCCAGTGACGTTTCGGTAACTGCAGGGAATGTGGAATTTAATGTTGGCCCAGAAATATTTCAGAATTTTTTCAAGAATGTCTACACGAACGATTCCTCGTCGATAACGGCGCGTACGTTTTGCGGCACATAATTGCGCGTTTACGTACAAAGGGGGGAATTATCGGTTTATAGCGATGTTTAAATTGAAGCTTCGAAACGCGGTGAAACGCTGAACGGAGGATAATCCGCGTGACGTCAATGGCGAGGCGCGGGTCAAAGCTAAAGCGCGAGGAAAATAAATGGAAAAAAAGAGAAAGAAAACGAAAAATCCGTCCGGAACGAATTTTTTTCCGGGAAAGGTTGAAAAGTGTACGCGTTGACCGTTGCGCGAGCGGTCTCTTTACAATGGGACCCTGTAGTCCGCGGTTGTTACCCTTTTTTCCCTTTCCAGCTCGCCGCCGGAGAATAACCCGCGCGAAGAAAGCAGCCGGCATGTAATTAAAAATGTAAATGAGCGTAATTACTGGGCGAAGATGTGGCTAATAGCGGTGTGTGGCCGCGAGTTCGGCGCGAAACGATGCGCAGAAGCTGAAATTCGAGAAGCACCGCACCCACTTCCGGTACGCCCGAACAATAGCTTTCGTTAAACCGACCACAAGTATTGCCCAGGTGTTTCACGGAATTTTACACCCGTTACTGTTTAACGCGTATTCCATTGAATATTTTAAAAGCAATTTTGTAAACGTATGGGTTGCAAGTCGCTTTCCCTGTAAACTGTAACGGTTGCTACACACCGGTTCTTTTACTTCTGAACCCATAAATTGTAATAAAATATAAAATAAAACAGGCACGAGTTTATTAGCAGTGCTTTTAAACGCGCATTCTGTTGTCAGTTTTATAGGGAAATATGGTTAACGTGCTGGCATTGTTATCAGAGAAAAATACAAAAATTTGTCGAACTAAATGGACGAAATAGCGGTCAGTTTATCAGGCTGTTGCGATTACGAAAAACGGAGAGGCGGTAGTTTCACCGATCGAAGAAAAAAGGGAGCATTGTGCGCAATTTCGGTGTGCCGAGAAGTTGGGAGAAATTTTACGAGACAGTCGAGACCGATACGTTCTCTCTCGTGTAATATACGTTTTCGCGTGGACACGAGTCGCTGCTTCTCCCGCGATTCCTGCAATTCCGTGCACGCGCGAGACGGACCGAACCGAACTCTCTGCAAACAAATGCATTTCCTCGTGAACGCGCTGCCCCTGGCATCCGAATTTTCCACGTAAATCCAAACCCTGCTCTTTCATCGTGCGACGGAATAATGAGTGCTCTCTTGATCCCGTTTTTGGTCAAATCTGTCGGGGAAAAGGGTCTCGAATTGAATTCGGATGGGACCGTTTGCGAGAGCGGATGATCGAAACAATCGTGGTTTCGTTCGAAAGTCCAACGTTTCAAAATTAGATCAGAATGAAAGCCGGACTAATTAATTTTAGGTCGCTATTTCACCAAGTTCCTTCGTACTTATTGTTCCGAAAATACGCTGAAAATTCGGAAGATAAAAAATCTATGACGACAAACTTTTAACGTACAACGGGGAAAGACAATTTATCTACGAACTCGGTAAACGTCGGTAACATCGAACTGTATCGGAGTATTGACTCGACTCGGAATTTTATTTTTTCTTCAATTTCTGGCGTCGACGCTAAAACACGATGTTCGTCGAAACCTGGCCATTCTCGCAGTTTAATGGCTGTTTCTCTTAATTCCGTCGCTTTAACAGCCCCTTTTGCGGCGGGTAAAATTTACGGCGCGGTTTGCGAGCCAAAACGATCCACCAACGACGCGTATTTATCGCGCGACGTGTCACTCGTGTTCGTAGTTGGCGTTTACCAGTCGCGATATCGGTTTTAGAAAATTCCGAAAATAAACCCTCCGCGAATAACGGCTAGAGTCGAGCAGATCGTCTTTTTTCCGCTTTTAAACCGGCAAAGGAGCTTCGTGTTTTCCCAACGGGGAAGCACGTCTGCCGTTGGTTTTTTCGTGGAGCGATGTCAGAAGCACGGAAGGTCCTGGGGTCGACTATAACTCGACGAATCGATGGGTTATATTTTGCCCGATTCGAGAACGTTACGACGCGACTCGATTCGTACATGTCGATACCGTGCCTTGGAAATTGTATCTG